TCCCAGTGACTTTCCGAATCTTGTCTCATACAGTTTTGGAACTGGTGGTAGAAGAGATGCTAGTAGTGAATTTAATCCAAGATTCCTTTTGGCACTGACATCGAACCTGCTGAGCATGGCCATGAGCCCGCAGATAAACAATGTGGTTAGAAAGAGAGGTATCCCAGGCCCGTTTTTGAGGCTTTCGTGCATTCTGGCAGGCAGGATTCCTCCATGGTTGAGGATACCATGAAAAACGTGTCGAGGTCTTAGGAATAAAACGAGCTGCCACCTGGACAATACTGTCAGTTACTGCAACCACACAGTCATCTATTGATGGCAGACAGACGAATGCAGGATCAAGTTCAGAGAGAGAGGTGAAAGGTGGCCAGTTAGCCTGGTCCAGCTTCCACCATGGCACTCAGGTCGGGTGGCACCGACCATGGCCAACCTCCCTCATAATGATAGGAAAATGATCACTGGCCCATGGGTCCCAGTCGACCATCCAAGAAATGCGAATGTAAAGTGAAGGGGAGCAAATCGAGAGATCAATAGCAGTAAAAGACTGACTAGGTGCATGAAAATAAGTATATGTACCAGTACTGAAGAGAGAGAAAGATTGTGGAACGACTCCCTCTATCGAACGACCCCTCCCATCAATATCAGCACCACCCTACAGGGGGTTGTATCCATTAAAGTCTCCCAGAAGTAAAAAGGGAGATGGCAACTGGTCAACGAGAGCATGAAGGTCTGATTGATCATAAGTCTCCCCCAGGAGACAGGTAGAGAGAACAAACAGTGATCGACCTCTATGGATCCTGCCCTTGATCGAGTGGGCAGATCTCTGTCATCAGTGTGAGAATCCAATGACTGAGGACGTGATCGAATGATTGTCCTGATTTTAGGTGCCAAAGAAGGACCTACATGGACACCAGAGGCTGGTGCCCGAGGAGGTTGACCCAAGCAGTCACTGGAAGGAATAGTGGGGACAGAGATTGGAGTCAACGTAGACCTATCAACCCTATTAACCATGAAGGGCAGAAGACCTCTCACATGGTGTGAAAAATACGCAGATGGAGGCATGGAAAGGTCCATCTGCACTCCCACTGTAGCAGTAGAGTGTTGTGCAGTGGCATATGTCCGAGATGGAGTAGGGAACAATAGCTTCCGAGCCTCTGGATAGGAAATGTTGTGAACAGTCTTCAAACATTGTACCTCTTTCTCCTCCACCCACTTAGGGCAAGACCTAAAGTAAGAGGGGTGGGAACCACTACAATTAACAAAGTGCGGGTCCAGTTTACATTCATAGGCGTCGTGGTCCTTGCCACCACAACGAGCCCACATCATAGAACCACGACAAGATGTCATTGAATGACGAACCGCTGGCACTGAACACATCAGAGAAGGTTGGGCATATAGGGCCGTACCTTACAGTTCAAATAACCTGCCTTAACAGTGGCCAGTGGATGCGGTGATGAAAATGTCAAATAAGAACTTAGGTTGGCACCATAATAGCATCCTGACGAGTGGAGATTCATCAAACAGCTGAAACTCCTTGGCTGGAGGGACCAGCAAGGATCTCTAACTCGAGGATAGACTTCAAGTCCCTCTGAACAATAACTCCTTGTGATGAATTCAAGGAAGCATGGGGAGTAACCTCAATGGGTATATCCCCAATGGCCCTTGAATTCAAGAGGAGTTCACTGTGCTTAGCTGTGGATGTTTCGACCAAGATGTCTCCAGAACGGAGTTTCTTAACTGACTTTGGAGAACCAGCAAGCCCCTCTAAGCCCTTCTGAATAAAAAATGGAGACATTTGCCCTAAAGATTTATCAGATAGTAAATGTAAGATCAGAAAGCGAGGTACAGGGCCACCTTGTGGTGGAGAATGCTGTGCAGAGTCTTCTAGGCATGGCCGTTTACCAATAAGCAGAGTTTTTACTATTTTTTCATTTAGATTGGGGGATCCATAATTAAGAAAAAAGGATTCAGTGCCCACTGACCCCACCCGCCATGGAGTCCTACAAGGGGACGCACTACAATGTCAAAGAAGGACACTGCAGCAACGTCAGGGTTCCGTGAGCACTATACCCAAACACCAGCATCAGACACGATGTCTACAACACCCATTGAAAATGGCCAACATTGGTACTCAGTTGACCCTAGCCCAAGTGGACCAGCCGATTGACCCTGGGGGGGCCACCCCAAGGCCACCCATCCACAGGAATTCAAGACCAAAGTGATGTGTTGCAGTGCCCCAGACACCACTCAACCACCAGGATCCTCTCCTTCCCTTCACAGGTCGCCACACGCGTGGGTGGATGTTTAGATCCCAGAGGAAGGAACTGAAAATATAGAACCTTCCCTGGGTGTCCCCTCACCACGTACAGTAATCCACGTCGAGGGGAACAGACTTGGGAAAGAACAGTATACCTTCCCAATATGTCCCACCAACAGAGGAACCAATTTAGAAGAGAAAAAGCATAGGAACTGGAACAGAACTCTGATGTCCCCAGAAAATTCATCAGGGGATGGTAGTAAGGACGAATCAAAATCAAGGAGACACTCAACAAAGTGTCCACTCTCTAATCAGGCAAAAGATACTCCAAGCACTGGAGTTAAGGGAAGGAAAGGTAGAGTGCCTACATGCAAGAAAACAGGAATCAGTCAGGCAGAGAGACGATACATGAGGTTACACGAACAAAGTTGATCAAGAAAGGCGTTGGCATGAACAAAAATATAAGGGGAGGGTGAAAACAAAGAAATTGCAAGGAGAAGGGTTATCCAAGAAGAAATAGGAAGCATCATAAGTTATGGGGGACAAAGAAAGAATAGTACATACCAGGGTAATGAGGTTCTGAAAACCCAAAGAAGATTGCAGTTGTTCTTCAGAAGGCATGAAGAAACACAAAGCAAAGCCTGGAGGTGGAAAAAGCCATTCAAAATCGTCTTCATCAGCATCAGTATTAAAGGCAGGGAAAGGGAACTGTGAGGTAGAGGCAGAATAAGAGGGTCCAGGTAGCATCAATGAGCCAACCACATGTTGGACAATGGCTTTAACATCATCCACAGATAAAGGACTTATGAAAATGTTGGCAATTTGATGAATGTGACTGATATTTTCACCAACATCAATTGAACAATTCACACTGAATTGTGAAATCATAATGATTATGTTAAAATACAATCAAAGTCAGTTGAGATCAATGTTATTTGACAAGTCTCAGTAAAACAAACATGTCTTAATACAACTCTGCTGAGGAAGAGAATGAGGATTGTCATGCACAAATGCAGTGGAAGGATTTGATGAAGTAGGTGTATCACATTCCTATTGGTGGAGGGCTTTGCTGTATGATACGTCATCATTCAGTAGTGCAAATTTATGTGATCACAGTTGAATTTATATGGGATTTTTCACAAGGCTGGTCGTATATGCAAGATCTTCAGGCAGATATGTACAGTTTCATGAGGAATATAGCTCTCTGTGTATGGAGGTGATTGCTAATTTCAGAAGTTTACATTTTCCTATATCAAAAATGTATTTCCGATAATACTTACCTCCCCTCACACTTTAGCTTTATCCGAGTGAAATATTCTTTTCTTTGCCCATCTAAGCAATGGTATGCATTCTACCTCACTTGCTCCAGTTCTTATACCCCACTATATTGATCCTAGCGATTTTAATATTGTGACTCTCTCTACATACATCAATACATCCTCTATACCCGATCTGTATATAAGCTCCCTGTTATTCTTTCTCATTAACTTTTTCGAGACTGGCAAGATTATCAGACCCAAACACCAGCTATCATGGGGGAGGAAGAGCAGGTAAGTATTATTGGAAATACATTTTTGGCATTGGAAAATGTAAACTTCAGAAACACACCTCCCCTCACACTTTAGCTAGAATCCCATACTAACCAGGTGGAGGGGCCCCATGAGGCAAAATGGTTTACACACCTATTTTTAAAAGCATTCACAAGTAAAGCAATTACAGGTAAACTTCAAAATATCATTAAACCTTTAAAATAGGAATTTGAAAATACAAATAATACACAAGTAACTAAAATATAAAAGTAAAACCCAAATGCAATTTAACTGTCTATCAAACTAATACATAAAAAGGAAAGAAAAAATATTCAAGTGCTAGGGACACTGATCTCTACAACAAACAAGCAGCAGTTAGCTTGTCATTTCAAAAAGTAATTAACACTCTCAATACAGGCTTGGTCAATTTGACCGACCATGTGACCTTTTTGTACTCGTTTAAAGTCTTTACTGATTTAATACTTATAACTCTCTATATATTGGGTATATATTCATGAAATTTGGCAGTCTTTCAGTTAATATTACAAGTCTTTGACATACAAAAAGTCATATATCTTGGTGAAGTATTTTTAATAAAATAAAGATTTGTCCATGAATATATTGAGTATTTGTTTTGAAGAGTCCGTGTGCAAAGTAATTTTCATGTTAAAATTAAAAATACTTTTCCTCATCTCAAAAATCTCAAATTTCCTTTCTGTAATTACTATAACCTCCCAAATGCATTTCAAATTAGCCTAAACTTAATAATCATAAGAATCTTAGAAGAAAAAATATATATATATATAATTATGTGTCAATGACAGATTTCGATAATTTAAATTAATTTATAAATTTTAATATGGATGAATTTCTATTTTTTTTTAAATACTAGCTAGCATACCCTTTCAAACACACAAAGAAGACTAAAGGCCCATGGAGAGTAACATAGAAAGGTCAGATCAAAATGCTAACCCTCCCCATGTCCCCCCACATCACTCCCAGTGGGGTCCTAAGAGTATATGCTAGGTTTGGGGACAACTGGTTCAGTGATTCACCAACTATAAGAAGACTCACACACATACAGACTTTTGTCAAATAAAGATTTGGAAGACAATTTCTCAACATGGAAAGAACTATGACTCGTGTATATATTCTGGGAAATATATATCTAGAAGGAAAATCATAAAAAATGGACTTATTTAGTTCTGAAAAGAATGTATTTCACAAAACTATATTCATCTTGCATTGCAGTAGTCTGTCTCTCTTACTTTTCTTCTTTACCTTATCTGAAAAATGTTTAAATAATGTTATGCCAATTTATTTTTCTTTCTAAAAGTAAACTTGCTTCATATATGTTTCAGTTCATTTTTTACTTAGCGTGTTTTGATTATGTGGTATGAAAATATGTGTGACAATTCTACCTTCATAATAGTTTCTGCTATTTCTCAGACCAGCTTGATATATACAATATTTCTTTGTTGGATTTCAGGCAAGGGCTACCTGTGCTAGCTATTCCTAATTTTGAAGCGATGGACTAGAAGGAAGGAAGCTAGTCAACACCACCAACTCTTGGGCTACTCGGCCTGATGTATCCAAATAATAACTGCTTGTTGCTAATCTATATGCTAAAGAATTATTTACTGTGATCCAATACTGATAACAGTTAAATTTTATTATTAGTTTCCATGCTAAAAGAATTAATTCATTTTATATCTGACTACTGACTTACACACTACTATGCTTTTATATAGTAAGTACTTAATTCTCCTATTAATAGCATCTCAAACAGATGTATATGACCAGCATGATTTATGTGTGGTTTCTTAAATAACTGTTTTGAGTAACACAGCTATTACATATGAAAAAACAAAAGTTCAGTGACTACTTTTAATTAATTATAATATGGCACTAGACAAAAAGGTACCCATTTGAGTAATCAAAGAGTATAAGGAAATATTCTGTATATCACAGCTCTTAGTGCAACAGACATTGATCTATGTAGAAGCTAACTGGCATGTATTGGTGTAAATCAATCTTAAAAACGTCAATGATACCCCCTCAAGCATTTCTGTTGAGTGGAAGCATGTCAAGAGGTTACAATCTACCATATGCATAATAATCCCTCCAAAAATTAAATCATCCTGGCAGATCTTCTCTGAGCCCTCTGCAACAACTCAATCAACATCTTTTCTTAATGGAGAAAAACTTAAAATTGAAGTGAATATTTCATCATCTAGATGGTGAATTTCTGTAATTTTCTGCCAACATATATGTATTACTTTTTTCCAAACAAACTACAATCATTATTTCAAATGCATATATTAATATTAAACATGTAATGCTTCTGGTTATTAATATTATATATATATAATTATGTCTATGGAATTAACATATATAACATCTTAGAGAAATAAGTAATTATTACTTACTGTACAATTGGGTTCAATCTCTTTAATTTCCTTCTGTTCAACCATTTTAAGATCTCTAACATTATTTTTCTGGCCTCTTTCAAGCAATGCATGAAGACGTGGAAGTTCTTGTGGCGTTGTTGCCACTATCAACTAAATAATCCACAGAAAATATCAAATAAATCAACAGATAAATGAAAATGCAGTAAAAATACTTTTATCTCTACAAACTAAACCTGTAAAACAGTTAAGATTTGTCAACATGTGATAAACAATTTAAAGTATTTAGCTTAAATGTTCTTCAAACCTTCTTTAAGAAGCTCCCACTGAATAATTTCTAATGATCTCATGCAATAATTTCTAAAGGACTATCTTATGAAATGTGGAAAAAAAAACATACAAATATTTGTTTTTCATCTTGCAAATTGTATCTTGTTATAAGTTTTAAAGTAATGTATTGTTCTGCATTATAAATATTTGTAAATTACTCATAGCAACTATGTGTAAAAAACTAAGTTTAACTTGTAAGAAGCATAAAGGTAGTGTTTTAAATAGCCAGGATACTTCAAGATCCAAAGAATAGCACTAGATAAAAAATAAATTACACAAAACATAGTGAGTTCTAGAATGAAATAGTTAAGACAAAGAAACTAATACGGTGATTTACAAAACTAATTATAATACAGATATAAAAAAAAGAATATGACAAGAGATCATTGAGAAGTTAAGAGATTTGGTAAACCATGAAAAACCGTGTCTTTAAACAGTTTCGATGTTATAACATCCAGCATTCATCTAATGTTATGGCACTGCTGTTTTGGTGTTCAAACAATTTAAACAAGCTAACCAATTGAGGCTTGGTGACTATTTTGACATACAGTAATAATGTTTAAATTTCTGTCTCCATCTAGTCTACCCTATTTTCTACTACCAATCTACTAAACTACTCATCCAACACTCTTAAATTCCTTTTATGTTGCATTTTTTACCACATCTGAAAACAAACTATTCTACATCCTAACTACTCCATTATAAAAAGAATACTGCCTTAACTGGGGTCTCATGTGAATGTTCCTGGTTTTAATATTCTGTCCTCTATTAGTAATTCCTGCAGTTTTTTTTATGAAAACACCATCTAGAATTCCCAACCTATAACAATCTTAAAATTCTCAAGCAGGCTTCCCTCCTCAAGCACTTCTTCTTTTGAGTGGAAGCACATCAAGAGATTTCTATTTACCCCATACATAATACCCCCCAACCTGGAATCATCAGGGTATATCTTCTCTGAACTCTCCAACAACTCAACATATTTTCTTACAAAAAAATGCCAAATACTGAACATAACATTCCAAACAAGTTTAACCAATGTTTTATAGAACCAAGAACTTCTTTTGTCTTTTACTCAATAAGACTATGTGAGTTATTAATCTTAGAATGACCTATATATATATATATATATATATAT